AGAAAGCGATAAGTCAATATTGCGGAAAATTTAGAGCATACCCTCTTGCGACATTGGACTCTTCCCTTCCGTCATGGGAATTTCCCCATCCTCTTTCAACTGGGCTACGTGCCGCTTGTACCCATTCACAAAGTCTAGATAGCAATTTGAGAATTACGACATTACGGAGTATGGCGTACGTTTAAGAGTTGACTCCAATTCTGGAGATGGCTCGCATTTGCGTTCCGTGTAAAGGAACTTGATGGCGCTTTTGTATCCATTTATTGTTGAAAAGGAGTTGTGGCGAATAGGGGATAGCTCGACTCCTGCTGCGTTTCGCTTGATTGACACAAAGGAGAGGTAGATCTGACAAACGGCGGGAGGGATGGGCAAGGAAATGACGTCGTTTTGTACTAACCTGCGGTGGTTCTGCTTGAGCCACCGCGCAAAGTGTGCAAGCATTGTGTTATACTGGGTCCTGGTTCGTCCACCCACCCGAAGCTGCATGATGTTGTCACCAGCCTCCCCTTCGGCGAGGCTTGCGCTTTCCACGGCTTGCATGATTCGAAAATGTGTGGAGTCTAATTGGTTGAGATCCATCCGGATAATGTTTCGCAAGTGTTTCGCGATCCCAAACTATTCAGCAGATAGTTTCAGAGAATACAAAATGCCAATGTATTTCAGGAAATAGTTTGCTCATTGCGAAACAAATTGTGAAACAAATTGTTTCGTAGCACTACAAAATATCCGGCAAAATGTTTCGCTATCCACAACTATTTCGAACCAGAGTAGGAGTAATCGGTGTCGAAACAATACTACTACTAGTAACCTGTTTATACCTCATGACAAAGACAGCCACGGCATTCCTGTTGACCAATCGCAGTGTAGATAAAATATGAACTGTGATTGACAGAAATTGTTCATAGCCAATCAAGTTGAACTTACGTATTAAAAATATATTCCGGAGTATGATTATTCTGCCTCCATGCATATATCAAGATGGCTGTTACGGGGTTCATAATACATCGCTTCCTTCCGTGAGCAGAGGAAAATATATTTTGTTTGTACAGTTCACTTGTTGTGCGCAAGCGATGGTCAGAATCACGCTCTCTCACTGGTGGATGAATCTGATGACGCGATCTTGAAAGAATCTGATTGGCTGGAGATCTGGTCCGGATGCGGATTCTCCAGCATTTCGCATACGCCGGGGTCACCCATTGTTCCCGGCAACGACGGGGGACGACAGTCGGCTGGCGGCGGATGGAAAGCAGTGTGTCGTGAGCATTGCGCCGCCGTGGGAGGGTACCTGCGCGCTGTGGACTGCCGTGCGCGTAAAGCATGCAAGAGGAACGAAATGGACGAAGTGGGTATTCGTGACATGATGGATGCATCGTCGGCTGTCGTCGAAATGGCCGACTCGCAACGCCAAGCGTTCGCAACCAGGAAGTGAGGCACACCCAGGAGTCGTGGGGCCTCTAGCATTTGGGTGACGAAGAGGATGGTGTGGACCACAGCGAACAGAGCCCACCCGTGGCTGCAGAGATGAACATTCAACGGTGGTGTCAAGACAAATCGAAACTCTCGGGAGTAGTATATGCACGAGCTCGGGATTAAGTTAGGTGGTTGGGCACGAAGAGTAATAATCCCATCGTCATTCGTCCGAGGTCACGGGGTTGAGCAGCATATGCAGTGGCATGCGGGCGGGGGGGAGTTTGGGCAGACCCGAGGTGGCGAATTGTGGGGAGATGCTCGAGCAAGTAGTGGGCAGGTCGGAGCTGCAACGGCTCTGTTGCTTGCCATTTGCGCCGGCTTTCTTCTGATGCCACCGCTCGCGTTTGTACGCAGTGATCTTGGCGCGGTTCTTCAGGTAGTACGCTTTGTGAATGGCGCGGATTTTATCGCGGTTGCTCTCGCGGTACAGCCGTTGGTTCTCCCGGACTTGGTCACGATTGCGCTCGTAGTAGCTCGGTCGCCCGTCATCGTCGTTGTTGCACTGCACGCTGTACGCAGGATTGAAATGCGACGCCATGGACGGCAGCATGGCCGCAGCGGCGCGGACATCCGTCGACATGGTGACGGACTTCGCGTGGATTTGGGGAATGAGCGCAATTCTCACCGAATTCAAGATTGACCAATCACGGGGCGACTTGGAGTGTCCAGAATTCGGCTGGTCGATTGACTTGAAAAATGTATGGTCGACGCCGGCCTTGACGGGGCGTAAAACGCGTTTTGGAAAAAACGCAACAAGGTTTATACATGTCGCATGGCAAAACCCATGGCCGAAACAGTTAAACCGCTCGTTTTCGCGACATGAGATGGCGTTTAAACATCTTACCATGTCGTTGGCCACCCCCCCTTGACAACTGACGTTCACGACAAAGTTTATCCCGGACTTTTCCATTCGTGGCCCACATTCCTCTCGTCGCGAAAGCAGACAGGACGGGGGCATGCCTACAAGAGAGGGCATTGCTGCAGCACCATGGAGAAGTACACTGTTGGGTGATGGGGGCTCCCCAGCGTCTTGAGGAGCTCACCGTTGCCCTGCCAAATCCTCCCACACGTTCGATGCCACCTAGAGTCTGGCCAGTCGGCTCTGGTGATGTGGCATGTTGCTGGCGCTCGAGTTGAGCGCTGTGAGTCATCGTAAAGACTCGACTTGGTCCTGTACAAAAAGGGTCGTTGTATAGCCTATTCAGTTGGGACGATGTTGCTGTCACGAGCGATAGAACCTCTTCGAGCCGATGGGTCACGGGCGTGACTTGAGTGGCTCCATTCGAGCTATCGACCTCGACGTGACCAGGTCGTCATGACGTCGTCATCGTTCGAGAAATGCTGAATTTCGCGTGCTTTTTGGATCACATGTGCTGGTGAAAGCACGCGGAAATATCTACACCCAGATAGTTCGACCAAGGGCAAGGCGAAGACAGGACGTTTCTAGGTACATCAGGAGAATCTTGAAGGCGGGGGGGGGGCTTTCTTCGACGAGCAGCAGCTCCACACCCCTCCACCCACGAACTCAGTCACTCATCCAAGTTCCGGCAATCCCCATAGGCCGAGCGACTATGACAAAGGACTGGCGCTTTCACTCCTTGCGCCCGATTGGGAAGCGATCTATGAACTCCACGAGAGGCGACATGAAGTGGCCACTTTTCCTCGGGCGATTCGGCGATGACGACTGCGGCAATGCCCGCATCAAAGAGAGATGTTGCCCCTGGTCGAAATTGAGGGGATCGTTGTGTTGTAGAGGATGAGTGAGAAGGAGAAGTTTTTGAGACGACATATGTAGGGAGCGGGTGCACCGCACGACGGGCAACGCCTTTTGGTCAACGCTGCCTGGATTGCGGTGAATGCAGCCGAGAGGTGGACTGCGAAAATGTCATCAATGCGTGTTGAAACCCTGGTGGCGAAGCTTAGTGTTGGCGAAATGAAGTGGAAGCGTTTGGAGTTCAAACGTGCAAGTGGGGTGCCCGCTACGTGCGTGTGACAAGCGTGAATCCGTCAGAATTGTACACGTGGCCATCCGCTCCAAGGAGGAATTTTGATGAGGATGGCATTGACTGCGTGCACGTATTCGGCTGAGCCCAGGGCAAGGTTTGCAATGCTCTCCAGTGGACTTTCCATGTAGATTGAGCTGTCCGCTTTGTCCCCAATTAGCAAGAAGTAGCGTTGCTCACGGACACCGGCCCCCCTTGTACACTCAAAAGGGCACGTCGTCGTGCTGTTGTTGAGATGCTGACCACAGCGGTAAGTACAATTACCCTTGGCCGCAAGGCTAGCCCAAGTATGCGCTCCCTTACCAAGGGACCTGGAAGGGACTCCACACTCCATCGGCCAGGTAGCTCGCAACATGGTGGCGCTCAAGTTCGGCATGGCTAGGAATCCGATCGTAGAATCCAATGCAGCGAAGGGAGTGAGCGCCATTTCCACGATACTCCCGGCTTCGCATCCGTACGCCGTGGTGAAAATCACCCTGCCATTGCACTTGCCGCAAAAGTTTGGGTGGCGCTCCAGTAAGTGTAGATACACTTGCGGTTCGGCCTGCTCCATGTAGCTCACTGGCAGCGCGCCCTGATCGATCGTTCGAGTCAAAGTCTGGAAATGCTCCAACTCACCTTGGCGGCCCTGCCGAGATTCGTCTCGTTGTAACAAATGTTTGCCAATCGCGTGAGTCACCACACCCAGAGGCCCTTTGTCCAGCCGCACGGATACACTTCAACTGGGAGCTCTTGGCATGCACGGTCGACGGGTACTGAAGCATGCACATCACCCCACGCTAGTTGAAAATGTCTGCGGAGGGGGGCGTGGGTAGGCCCCTTTGCCCCACTTGTAGCTCAACTCCGTCTTCGCTCGCAAGTTCGCTTGGTGTTATCCGACAACAGAAACCCTTGGGTATGTGCTGGAGGGGGTGTGCGCGGGGGAATTCAGATCTTTGCCTAGATGTCCCAAATTCGCAACTTGGACTGTGTGGATCGTTCGATTGGGAAAAGAACAAACAAAAGCCCAGACTGACAAGCTCACAAACTCGAGGAACTCTTGCAGGTCGTATGACGAGGACCTGGGGCCACTTTAGAGCCGATACACCTCGGACGAACACCAACGGATGCATTGGTTGGGCCACTATTCCTACATAGTACTATAGTCCTGCGACGAACGAAGCGTGGGTCACACTTCGCAGTCGCATGAGTCGCTGTGCATCCCCTCCGTTGTGAAACGGTGCGTGGCGGGGAGGGGGGCGGCGCGGTTGTGGATCATCGGGGATGATCGACCATGTGGGCTCGAGGCAGGCCTCTGCAGCTTGCTGTTTGCGCCGGAGGAAGCACATCAACGAAAATTCAATCTCCCCCCATCGACAGCTGGCTCCAGAATCTCTGCATGTCCCAGATCGGCTCTCCGAGGCGAGCACGATCACCGTGGCACGCCCTCGACCCCTCCCCCCACGCTTCCCTTCTCGTACTCCTATTCACAAGCATAGAGTGAGAGGCGCGAGGTATGTGTGTGCATCGATCAAGCATCCCCTCTAGCTTTCCATGCCTCGCCAGCTGCTTTGTCCACCATGGGTGACGTTGAGTTGGTACCCCAAATCATATGAAGTTCGACATCCGCAATTTGCAATGGGACGACTTGGCCCTTTGCAACGTCCGTGGCCGGGGGGGTGGGCAAGGGGTGATCTGTTCGGAGAGACCCGTCCTCACGATTCAAACCCGAGTGGCGGACAGGACGACGTTGAAACGATCGCTTTCACACGTTGCCAACGCGTTCGTCCATCCCTCGACCATCTGCAGCGTAGTGTGCAGCAAAAGGGGATCCTCGTGGCATGCTTCACATGTATCGATGCTGGTCTGGGCTGTACTGGTTTCGGCAACGGACCGGGCGCGACGGCATGTGCACGGACCATGTATCGGTCGTTGGAGGAAACTGCTGGCCCAGATAAGTACGAGTCGGCCGCGCGTGTGACCCGACAGGAGTTTCACGTTTGGGTGTGCAGGGCCGACCAAGTTGGCCGACTTCAACGTCCACATTCTCGAATTCATCACCACGAGCACGCTGTCTTTCGGACCACGATGGACCTCGCCCTGCAGCTGAACCCGCTGCCCACCGCCATGGACCGCCCAAGCTACTACGACCGCAACCGCGACCAAGTACGGGAAAGCCAGCGGCTGTACCGCGAGACCAACCGGGACAAGATTCGCGCGATCCACAAGGCGTACTACGCCAAGAACCGAGCAAAGATCACAGCGTACAAACGGGAGCGATGGCACCAGATGAAAGCAGCGTGTGCGGCGGCCAAGTCGAGCCACACCACGCACGAGCTCTGTCACACCAACGACAGGTGGGCCACCGACGATGGCGGGTTTGCGTCCAAGTCGGCAACACCCAAGATGCAAATCACGTTTCTTTTGAACGCGTAGCGGCCACACGACCAGCATCAAGTAGGCAGCGTACAGTGCGTGTATATGTGTAATCTATTGGGACAGTCGTTTGTCCATGTTAGACATCCCCACGTTGCATGTAGCTCTTTTCTCTACGACGTTCACCCCGTCCGAGTGGGAATGGTTCACGCCTTCTGTGATGCCTATGCCGCGCCGACGCGTCGTCCGGACACCCCGTTCGGGCTGTGTCGACGAGCAACCTGCGGGAAGCGCCTTGGTGCATTGCAGCCCGGTGACGTCGTGGGAAGCATGTATCTGACGGACTTTGGCTAAAATCTCGATGCTGCACCAACGCTGCGTACGCAATTTTGGATCACGTAAAGAGATCCAAATGGACCCAAACAGGTTGTTCTTGCAAGGCTCTCTCAACCACGTTAGCCGGAGGGCACAGCGCGCCAAGAGGTGGTGGGGGGCGCGACAACTTCGCCGACAATTGTGCATCGTGGCAGAGACAGTATGCGACGTTTGCTTGCGGCAAAACCGTGTGTGATACGATGCTGCCATGCAAGTAACCCCCACACGTTACGCGAGCGAGGGATCCCCAATTATACATGATCGAACCAGACGAGGGGAGTCGAACGTGGATGAGGGCGCCGCTCTCGCTGACCAACTCGTCATGTTGAACCATCCTGTTATGGCTGTCCAAGGCCAGCTTGCACCTCCAGTCGCCCAACAAAGGTAGTCGTGCCTTGCGAGAGAACGTTTCACTGGCTCAAGTATTCGACGGCGGGTTGCGGTTGACACCGCCGACCTTCCGTCAGGCAAGCCAAACCCGATGGGAACGTGCAAGAGTAACGTTGAATGACAACTCGTTGTCCCACCAACTTATGGCGCCCATGAAGCAACGGCTTGGCGATCCAGCGCCCCCGGCTCTAGAGAGGCCAAGCTATCGAGCCCCAGCCATGGATGTCACCACGCCAAGTCGTGGTGAGGAAGGCGAAACTTGCTACGGCACTTGCATTTACAGGCGGTGCTGCGAGTACGTGAAAGGGAAAGTTGAAGGTTGCAAAAGGTGTGCAGGAAATTGTCGTCAAAGGGCGGCACGCTGTGGCGCATCGCCGGCCAGCAAACGCATGAACTTGCTTCGCACAGGACAACGGACGCAAGTAGGACTCGAGACCCAGCCGTTTGTGCCGACGCAATGCGCACAACGTTTTCCAGCCTTTCCAGTCCGTCCCGTTGAAAAGACGCGCGAATTCGTCGGTGTCGACAACCACGAAGGAGTTGCATCTTTTCCAACCGACACGTCCGAAACGTCACATGACACGGCGGCAAGCGATCGAACGACAGCGCGACCCTTTTCAACGCTTTGCATCTTCGCATGGCTTCAAGGACCGACCAAGGGATAGGTGGACAGAGCACATTGCAGGCTCCACGCCGCGACGTGTGTGGCCTTCTCCGAGAACCGCGGCATCGACGTGGGGTGATATTCCAAGGGGGTGGAAAAATATGGATCGTAACAGACCGTGCGCATCGAACATTTGCATAGAACGTGCGCAGGTGCCGAGCTAAAGTTATCGCCCTCTCGGCAACGACAGGGCGGCGTTGCCATTGGGCCCCGCCCCCTCGATCGGGAGGACGGGGGGTTTCAAAACCTGTTGGCGGGATCGCTTCCTGTCTTCATAATCAAAGTCGCGTGTTGCTGCTGACATGGACTTCTCCCTGCAATTGAACCCCCAAGATCCCCCCGACGTCGACGACCGACCGAGCTACTACACACGCAACCGCGAACAAGTTCGAGAAAGCCAACGCCTGTACCGAGAGAGCAACCGCGAGAAAATCCGAGCGATTCACAGGGCGTACTACCTCAAGAACCGCGAGAAAATTACGGCCTACAAACGCCAGCGATGGCACCAGCGAAAAGCAGTGGCCATCCATGACGACGGCAGCGACCACTCTGCCAACCCCTCGACCAACTGCATGTACAAATGCAACAACGTGCCGCCACGACCGAGCAACGGGTGCCAGACCTTTGAGTGTTGTGCGACGGCGCCCAAGATGCAATTGGGTTTTCTCTTAAACACGTAGTACCTTACGCGAGGAGTAGACGAGCGAGTCGGTGGACGATTTCGTGCCGTGACTTGAATGGAGTGCGTTGTGTTGAACAAATTCGTGGTTATGTTGGACCGATGATATACGTACATGCCCCCCCCGGATCGTGGACCGCTGTTGGCGAATTGCGGAAAACCTGCCCTCCTACACCCCCACCATCACAATTCGCTCCGGCAAATGCCGTGGTGCAGGGCCAACACCTGGACCACGCAACAATTCCCCTGTGGGGTGGCTTCCCCACACGCTCGTCCGCGACATGATGCGACTGAGTGGGCAAAAGAACATGATCGGAAGCCGACCCCAAACACGAACACGAACGATGCGCGAGCGGGAAACGCGGGGCAGCTCGGGGAACATCGAGAACGTGAGAACGGAGAGGCGTTCTATTCTTGGACGAGGCATCGAAAGGGTTTCCGCAGACGCCACGGGTGCTCTCGATGAGTTGCCAACCACGTTTCCCATAAGTTTACGCAAGTGTTTCGCGCACGACTTGCACGGACGCATCCATCTTGGTCTTCGACGGCTTACCTTTCGTCGTGTGACTTTTTTCTGAACGGGACTGGGTGCCCTGGGCGGCCCCTTCCACCCGCGGGAAGACTCCGTCGCGTCGTTTCAGGTGTCCCTTGCTAGCACGCTCGGTTTGTCGCAGGTTTGCGCGCGCGCGATACGCCCCCTTGTACCCTGTGGCTTCCTCGCCATTCATTCTTTCCGGGTCTCGTCGTACGACTTAGCTTGGGTCGCCCCTTGTAGTTTGCACAGTCAACTTGTCGGCATCCCGTTCGACTTGCCGTCGTCGTGGGTGCATGGGCGGGGGCTCCGAGCCGTCGCCTGCCCTTGTTTGTCTTGTCGGGTGACTAGTTCCTACTAGCTCCAAACTTTAGTAGGACATTCGAATTGCCCTGATGTTTGTATGGACAGACCCAAGGTCGGCTCATACTAGCACCCCTACTACCGCTACATACTTCCGTTGTAGCGGTAGTAGGGATGCTAGTGACGAAGCACAGCAGCATCTCGGACCTCACGGTTGTGAGCGATGCTCGCGCTTCGTGGTACTGTCGGCGCATTCGACAAGCGCCGTCCGTGTTGGCTTTGCCGTGGCGGGTCGGGGGGAGGGCGGCGGTGGCGGCTTGTGTTTCTGGCAGTCCCACTGACATGGCAACTCTCCGAAGTCTGTTTCCGTCGAGTTGGACGAGGGTGGGAGCGGCTTTCCGTCGTTGACCTGTCGGAAGATCTTGTGGCTCACAGTGGTGCAAGCTGCCCCGCGGATGGTGTTTCTACGACGGCGCGTGCACCTCGTCATACAAAGGCACGCGGATTCCCCCTCAGCGATGCGTACACCACCTTTTCACGTCAAAGATGGATTCGAGACATGGTACGTGCAGGCGACAGGGACCCATCACGCAGGGCGTGAATTCCAATCTAGCCAGCCACATCCGCCCTTCCTTCACAACCTCCATCGGTGCCTTCAATGGGGTGGCTGCCGCGCACGAAACTGTGCGCTGCTCGACACGAGGGCCTGGGCACTCAGATATCGCCCGCGCCTGCTGCGCCCGCAGTCTTGTTCTCAGGTAGAGTTCGCCTTTGTCCTGCGGCTTGTCTCGTCCGTCCGTTGCATTGACCAGGCTGCGTGTGGGAACGTGCATGCAGTCGTCAAACAGCATGAAGAAGATAGGAGCCATAGCAGCGCCGAGGCCGCGAGGCACAGGCACGAATCATGGCATCGCGATTACCGCCCCAAGACCGTCAAGTTCGAGTATGGCTCGTGGCAGGTCAGTTCGTGAGGAGACCTGGTGCACGCGCTGTCGTAATGTATATACACGTTGACCGCGGCCTCGCCGTACTCCAGGGCGTCCCATGCGATCGACGGTCGTCCGGACCCCGCTTGTCGCCGAGGTCCATGGCGCGTGCTTCCTCCCGCCACGCAACGCACGGGCAGCATCGTCGATTCCCGATCGAGTTGAAATACTTGAAGTCGGACGGCAAATTGCACTTGGCCATCGATACAGTTCGTATTTGGAGACTCGTCTGGATAGAAATCCCCAAGTTCAATTTGGTGCGGTGTGGCCCCGACCCCTTCGCTCGGATACGTCCCACGCGGCTTCGTGTGCTGGGCGTGGGGGTGGCTTCCCCCGATGCCCACGGCTGCCAAAGGGCGATGGCACGGCTGTCCCCCTCGGCCACCATCGGTGTGTGGCGGCAAGCAAACTACCCAACGTCATGTTGCTGCCCAGCTTGGCCGCCCCACCTGCTACGTATCAATCCACAGAGGCGTCAAACTTCGAGCCCGCACCTTCGACCGGACCAGCTTGGGACCAGATCATCCTCTCTTGCCGCAAACACTTGAATCCATCATTTGTCGATCTCGGTGGCTGACATGACCTGCCTCGTCGAGACCGGCGGCAACGCTTCCGCTGCGACGGCGCGGAGCAGCGGGCAGTCCCCCCCCCACACGTCCGAAACCAGCTCCACCGACAAGAAGAATAAGTCGACGTATTGTAAACAGTACTACGAACGCAACCGTGAGAAGCGCATCCTCCAGAGCAAAGAGTACCAGCGGCGAAATCGCGACAAAGTTCGCGCATATCGGCAACAGAATCGCGACAAGGAGCTCGCACGGATGAAGGTGTACAACAAGATGTGGTACCAGCAGAACCGCGACAAAGTCCTGGCGCGGCTGAAACAGTATCGCAAGCAAAACCCGGAAAAGGAAGCCAAGTGGGTCAAGGACTACCGACAACGCAACAAAGACAAGATCAACCAGCGCAAGCGCGAACGCTACTCCAAGCGAAAACGATCGGGTATGGACACCCCGTCAAGGGTGGTCGCGGCCCCCGCCATGGCCCTCGACTATGTGCTGAACAACGCCACAACGGAGGGGGTCGACTGGACCCCGGAACCCTCCAATCTTGCGGGGTCTTCGTGGTTACCATCGCTGCACCCCATGCAGTCGGCCTTGCCGCCACCCAAAACGAGCCTCTCCTTCTTGCTCAACGCATAGATGTGAAGTGGTATGCTTCGTAGCTGTAGTGAAACACGTTGTGGTTTCCAAGTTCTACTAGCCGTGAGAGCTCCATCCCACCGGGACGGTCATGGGGGGGGGTGCACCGCAGCGTCTTTAGCTATGATCTCTCTACGATCCACCACTGCGATCCTGCCCTTACCACGCCCCTCTCCTCGGGGGGGGAGTTGAGTTGACGTTCTCAAGTGCATCGCGCATTCTTTGTTGCTCCGGACGTGACTGGGTTGACCACGAGAATCGATGCTGTATCAGGAGGTTTGGGCACATGCACAGGGATCAACTCGTTGATCTGGGACTTCCTCGTGCTGCCTCGAGCGGCGTTGCCTGCGGTGGGGGTGCCAGCGCACTTGAATGCGTCGCTCAGCGCGAGAGCATAGCGCGACCGACGACGGTTCAATGCCCCGAGCTGTACCGACGTTTGTACAACAAACGTGTCAGCAACTCAGCCCACGATTCTGTTGCCACGTTTTGTTTGCAACGGAGAGATGGCGGACGGCGATTCACGTGGAAGCGTTGCCAGGTACCTCCATCTTGAAAGCCGATGTCGGTTTTGGAATCGGTTTCCCATGCCCCACAAAGGCGGGTCGACGAAGTCGTGCGAGGCGCTTGAATCGTCGACAACGGCATTGCGCTGCGTACGCATCGTGTGACTCCAGCGACAGATATTACGCGATTCCTCGCCACGATTGTCCAGCCATGCATGACGGCGCCGGTGCCGACCTGCTGAACAACATCCTTCCGGCGGTTTTGCTTTCGAAGGGCCTCACATTGGCACGCTATTTTTAATCCGGGGCACTCGTCGTCGTCACTCTTGAATCGACGCCATGGCCGACACTGCCCCCGTTGTTGCTCCTGCGGAACCGACTGGTGCCCCCCCTGTGGTCGCCCCAAGCCCCGCCGCCCCTGCCCCCGCTTCGACTGCGACGTTGCACACCCCACTAACGCTCGGAAGTACGCTAGCTTTGTCGAATCGAATTCTTCTCGCGCCGCTGACACGATGCCGTGCGACGGCGACCCATGTCCCCACGGATCTCATGGCCGAGTACTACGCGCAGCGCGCGACGGCTGGCTTGATCATCACGGAGTGCACCATGATCGCTCCACTGACGTCGGCGTTTGGGACCGAGCCTGGGATTTTCACCCCCGAACAAGTCGATGCGTGGAAAAAGGTTACCGACGCCGTCCACGGCAAAGGGGGCAAGATCGTTTTGCAGATCTGGCACGCCGGCCGAGCGGCGCATCCGGCCTTCAACGACGGCGCCGGCACGATTGGCGCATCCCCCCACGCTATCGATGGCGAAGTGCACACAGCCACCGGCAAACAGCCCCACGTGGCGCCGCAAGAGATCCCGACGAGCGACATTCCGCATATTGTGGCCCTCTTTGCGTCGGCGGCGACGGCGGCCGTGACCAAAGCTGGTTTCGATGGGGTCGAAGTCCATGCCGCGAATGGGTACTTGATCGATCAATTCTTGCGCGACGGCAGCAACAAACGATCGGATGGCTATGGTGGGTCGGTGGAAAACCGAACCAAGTTCCTGGCCGAAGTGCTGGACGCTGTCACCAAGGCCGTGGGGGCGGACAAAGTTGGCGTGCGGTACTCGCCCCTGAATAGCTACAACTCGATGGTCGACAGCAACCCGATTGCCCTGAGCGAGCAACTCGCAAAGGTCAGCCAGCAATTCAACCTCGCCTATGTCCACGTGATGCGCGCCGACTTTTTCCAAGCCCAGAAAGGCGACATCGTGCCGATTTTTCGCGAGCATTTCAAAAATACGCTCGTCGTCAACATGGGGTACACCAAGGACGAAGGCAACGACGCGATTGCCAACGGCCAAGCGGACGCCGTCGCATTTGGCACGGCATTTCTCGCCAACCCAGACTTGCCCGCGCGGTTTGCCAATGGAGGCGAGCTCAACCCGCCTGACCCGGCCACATTCTACACCGGGGGGGCGAAGGGGTACACCGATTACCCTGCGTTGTCGTAGGGGGGTTTGCCCACATCGACGGTGCCATTCCCCCACTCTACCTGTTGATACGTTGCGGAATGCTTTGGCAATTTGCAACGTGTGCGATGTGTGTAGATAGGCACACCATAGAGAAACACTGGGCGAGTTGTACGAAATCAATTCCTTCACATCACACGCCGCCCGAGTGGTCCCGAACGAAAAACGATGACAAAACGCTGGCAATTCCTTCCGCGGGATGAGGGAACCCCCCACCCCCGTTCCCCTTGAGCGTAACTTTGGATCAAGCGAGCGCGTTCCCCCAACGGGGGTCGCTTCGCTTTCAAGCAGCGGGTCGATAACGGAACGATTGGCTGTCGACGCGCTTCTCGTCCACCACGTCATCCCCCCAAATTCGGCCACGTAGTTGAAGTTGGGGTGGACGTGCCTACAACAACATGAAAGTGCCTACAACAACGTACTCGGTCTCGTGGTGAATGTAGTCCTTTGACTATATTCACCACGAGACCGAGTACGTTGACCCTAGACGGACGCATTGGCACCGTCGGCAACTTCGACAAGTGAACGGAACGGCCGTGCGTACACTCGTTATATATCTCTCCAAACAAAATGACGCGTCCACGAGCACCCACGTGGCAACGGCGTCGCCAGGCAGTGTCTATTTCAAGAGAGGTCCATGAACTATCCTAACGAATCGTCGCGACGCTTGGACGTGAAAATCGTTTTATTTCATGGCACAATGGATCGATTTAGACAGAATTCAAATCCAATTCGTACAAGTGAAACAGATTTTAGAGATATTCAATATCACAGGGAATCGGATGAAAGAGACCACGTTCCGCGAACGGACGCCGGCTGTCCATGCCGGCCTCGCATTTCAGTCACGGCGCCACCATTACTTGGCTGGAGACGTCGACGCTGATATCGGTGGCAAACATGGCCGTCCTTGTGCCCCCATCTTGTTGTCGGATGAGCGCCATGTCCATCCATCGTACGCGATGGGCATTTGACACGGTCTGTGGCCAGCACTAGCAATTCCCACTGCCACCATCGATCGACTCGCTCCATCCACCAAGGCTGTGCGCCCACCTGCCTCATTCTTTACACAGGCACTGCGGTGTGTGCCCGACGGCGACCTTTGAATAGCCCCACGAACAAATCACTCGAAAATTTCGACTAAAACGCAATCCTCAGATTCAAGATGGAATAAAACGTCATGGCCACGACGTGGGTTTTACTCGGCCAAGCATCGCACCACTTTTCAATTGTTGGTCGAGCGCGTCGTGTACCCGCCGCCGCCACTGCCGCTCGCTTGCCGCCGCTTGACCGCTGTCGCTGCTTGCTGCTGCTCCCGTGCCTCTTTGCGCCGCTGATCTTGTATGCCCGGTTTCCGCAGCGGAGGGAACTCGGACGGGGACTGCTATTGTGTCTACGACTACGGATAGACGCGCGCTTTCGTTGAATCAACGCAACACGAACAACAACACGATGGAATGGATTGAAGTGGTGAAGGACTTGAATGCCGGTACGATTGGCGGCGTGGCCGGCATCGTGGCGGGCCACCCCCTCGACACGGTCAAGGTCATGCTGCAGACGGAAGCGGCGACGAGTCATCTTGGGATCATCGGCACGTGCCGCCACCTCGCCGCGTCAGAAGGTTTCCGCGGGTTTTACAAAGGAATGCTCAGTCCGATTCTGAGCAACGCACCGATCAACGCTGTTGTGTTTGCCGTGTACGGCCAAATGTCGCGATTGTGGCAAGATGGCAACTCGGACACTCCATTGACGCCAGGCCAGCAATTCCTTGCCGGAGCTGCGGCTGGCTTGTGCCAAGTACGTGCATCTCGTGGATCGGTGGCGAACACGCGGTCGTATACGGTCTGTTGTAGGTCACGTTTGCAGCGCCGGCCGAGCTGGTCAAGATCACGATGCAAGTGCACAATTACCCGTCGTCGTACTCGTCGTTGAGTTGTCTCAAGGACATTTGGAAGGCGGACGGGATGCGCGGCATGTACCGCGGCACGGCGCTTCAAATCATGCGGGACGTGCCGGCATTTGGGTCGTACTTTTACAGCTACGAAGTCCTCAAGCAAGCGCTAACGGGCGGACAGCCCGACAATGTACGATCACACGTTGGGTTGCCGATACTTGTCTCTCACGCACCACCACCACGCAGGAAACGACGATGAATTTGCTCGTTGCCGGGGGCTGTGCCGGCTCGATCTCGTGGATGCTGACGCAGCCCATCGACGTGATCAAGACGTTGGTCCAAAGCCAGTCGAGCGAGACCAAGCGGTTGTCGACCATGGACGTCATCCGCCGTCAGCATGCGTTGGAAGGGCCCAAGTTCCTCCTCAAGGGCTTTGGCGCGACCATCCTGCGCGCGTTTCCCGTCAGCGCCGTCACGTTTTTAGTGTACGAGCGATCGATGCAACTGATGAATTCGGCCGAGTTGGACCTGTTGATGCAATAACGTGTCCATTCAATCGTGGGTCGAAATCACCCGTCCGTGCTGCATGTGTCGAGTGTTTACAGGCCGCCCGCATACTGCCAGTCGCAGCCATCGCGTCGCATCCTGGCAGGAGATGCTGGCTGACACATCGTGGTTCTCAACCAGTCCAATCGAGCGCCGTGCGCACGACGTTGTTGTGGCAGCGACATCCATGCGTCGTTGCGGTTGGCCGCCCCAACGTCATCATGACCCAGCATGCCGCGTTTCAGCGAGCTATGGCATCGTGCGTCGTCGACGAAGGCCGTTCGACGTGGAAACGGTGGCCCAGCATGCCGACGCCCGTGTTGTGCAATGCGGAGCGTCGTATTCCCACAAGGATGGCCGGTCGTGCATGTCATCGACGTCACTACGAACCATTCCCAACGGGGTCGTTGCCGACACGCTGGAATCGGCATCACGTCGACGAGGGCTCGACGCCGAGGTGAACACCGCGACGGTCGCCAACGTGAATGCGCTGCTGGCCATGGATCACTTCCGAGTCGGAGGCAAAGTCGTTTACTAGTGACACCAGGGGATCTGTGGGGGCCAATACACCCCTGTAAGCACCAACCGGACGACAGCATCTACTACTGCATGGGGTCGGTATCGGCCTCGCCACCGGCTCAACCTGCGCATTCATGTGGGGCATCAAGCTGAGGCGCCCCTGCCACTCGATATCAACGCAATGCTGCGGGGTCGCCTTTGCGGTGGCCGACGGTCGACTCGTCGTGTCGACGGCAATGCTCGTTGTCGACATGAGGCATCCCATCGTGCGGTGTACACGTCGAGTCGGACGAACGTCGAGTCTGGGCGACGTGGGGCGAAGAAGAACGCTGGGACGACAGCTTTCACTTGGCCATTCGTAGCAAGTTGTCGAAAATGTCAACTGGTTGCAAGTGGCCGGGAGGATTCCAGCACTGGTCAAGCGTACGAGGTGGTCGGAAGGACCGCGGGCTGGCACGAAACGCAGTGGAAGCACACAGGCGGCGGGCTCATCTCATCACGTCACGATTCAAAACGCCGTGCGGCGCTCACCGTACTCGATTGCGTCGCGATCGCCTTTCCATCTGGACGGGGGCGTCGCCAGCAACACATTTCTCGATGGGACGACCTTCCACGAGCGCCAACGACGCCAACCTCACGATTTTCTCCACTTAAAACTGTATAAATTGTATTTTTTTATATTTCCTTTTATTATTATTTTTAAAAAAATGTATAATTTTATATAAATATTATATTTTATATAATATATTTTTTAAAGATTTTATTGTTATTTTCTCCACGTCCTGCTTCAGCACGGCACGCAGACGTCGCCGCTGTGCAAAGTGCTCGCCATGGTCCACCGCGACATTGGCGGTCATGAAGATGATCGTGGAATGAACTAGGTGGACAAGTCGTCGCAACGAGCATTTATTTCCAAACCTTGACGACGTACAGCGCGCTGTCGGCGCAGTCGTGCTTCAACCTGCCAGCAGCCAGCTCGTACCTTGTTTCAGCGCAGTGCACAGGTATGGAGAACCCCACAGACTTACGGCGGCAGCATCTTGCGCTCCGAATCAGCCGGGCGGCGCGACATGTCCAGGACGCTACTCGAATCCACCAAAACGCAGTCGGGGTGCTGGCCCTGGCAAGGCCGTTGGCTCCGTCGCAAGGGGTCCTGGTGCTTGCGCTCCTCGCATCGCGGCGCGGGTCAGCAGACGCCACACACATCGGGTCATGCGAGAGGAAGGAATCGCGCAAGCGCTTGATCAACCGGTGGCTTCATGCCTCGTTGAGTCAAGTCGTGGGTGTGATGGCAGCCGTGCAAGGTCTGCATCTGTCGTTGATACAGTTTGCTCGGCCGACTGGGGGTTGCGTCTGCTGCGCGGCACTCTCGATCGGGGCGATCCATCGTTGGACGTGTAGAGCTGGCTGTTCACGGTCGAGCGGGGATTCTCCAACGCGGGCACTCGTGCGTTTTCAAGGACAAGGAAGAGCTATTCATGTGGATTGCCACGAGCGACCTGACTGCGTCGTGCAGGGTCAGGATATGTCCACAACGGTTGCAACGTCCGCTCGATCGGGGACCCACAACGAGCGTGATGCTGGCGACCCCTTGCGTGTTTCAGTACGTAGTGTTCAGTTGAGGCACCTTTTTGAACGCAAGTTGAATCGAGTGGCTGGGATCGTCTGCATCGAGTGACTACACCACCTCCTGCGCAAACTCACGGCCCTCTGCCTCTTCACCACGCCGATGCTCGAGCTGCAACCACTCGATGGTGTCGATAGGTTTTCCGGCTGTACCAGCACCGTCAAGAGTGCCGAGGGACGACGTAGCTCGTGCACGTTTTGAACGATCTTGCCATGACGTGGGACGTAGAAGCGGTAAGCGACCATGATCACCATGCTCGTCTGGTTGGTGTCGGCAGTCGTCATGCTGCTCAAGCTCGCAGACCACCTCGCCACGATCGACCCCCAAGTGTCCAATCGATCAAGAGGACTTTCAGCCGATGTGCAACAGCAGTGTCTCGCAGCAGAGACATGCATCGGCTGCATCGATTGCTGGCCACCATCGGGAATTGCAACGCCATCTCGCGCTGCCGAAGCAAGCAGTCAGGCCGTTCTAGGTCAGACAGGACTCGATCCTGCTGAGTGCCGGCGCCAAATACCTCGCCAATCGCTCCAAGTGGGCGTAGTACCATGGCCTACACTCGATGGACTCGGCCGTGTTGAATGGCCTCTTGGCCGTCAAACAGGACCGATGATGGACAATGTGTTGGCCATCGCATTGTGGCGGTACCTTGTGCTTCAAGGCTACGATGGCATGCCGCCCCATCTCAAGTACGCTGTTCCGTTGGCCGATGGAGCGCGACGTTGGAACATGCTTGTGGATGTGAGCTCAAACCCCACGCTGGTACAGCATCGCGACACCAAACATCGTCGCAGTCGTGGTCGATGTTGGCGAGTGTGCGACTTTTGGGACTTCGCTTTCAAGGCGGTCATGGACGGAATGGATGGACAGTTGACACATGCATGCCTTCCGCGTTGCGACTCGAATCGTGGGAGCGCGGGATCGCTTCATCGAGTCGCTGTGCGTTGGAGCTGTTTCCATTGTCAGTCATTTTATATTTGCTACTACGTAGTATAATTTATTCTTTTCTGAGCGTATAATTGGGTAAACTATTCAACTGTTCCGGTTAAGAGTAACAAATAGTGAAACCATTTGGTCACGTTTGCGAGAAATCGCGGACAAATTATCCGAATGTCAAATTTCCACTAAACAGCGGCGGCCGTGCGCGGCCACGATTGGCGCAATGGGCAAAAAGGACAAGATCAGCGCGGACGCGATGACGCTGTTCCGCAAGCAGCAAAAGGCAAAGGAAAAGAAAAAGCTTAAGGTTGACCGAGTCAAGGGCAAGACGTCCAAGCTCGCGAACATGGACCCAACGGATCTTCGAGAAAAGGTGTGTGCAGTCTCTCGCCGTGATGCGACATCAATCGAATTCGTTTTGCAGATCAAGACACTTGAGAGGGACGAACAGAACGGTGCGTTGGACGGAGCTGGACGCCAACGCAAGCAAGAGCTCGAGGACACGTTGCGTCAAGTTCTTCGATATCGTGCCGACGTAAATTCTCTCGACGATAAATCTCGACCATCACGTGACGGTGTACGCAGGCTGAAGCTGAAGCAAAGGCAGCGAAAGCTGCCGCCCCGCCAGAGATCAAGGTGAGATGCCACCTTCCATCGCTTCCATCGTCGCTGACCACTACGACACGCGGCGTAGTCGGCCAAAGACTTGGCCACCCAGAACGCGAAAACCTACCAAAATCCAGAACTTTCCATCCACTACGACCCGGTATTCAATCCCTTCGGCGTGGCTCCGCCGCCTGGCCATGCTTACCTTCCGAACGCCCCCAGAGTGGTGCCAGGTATGGCATGGATGTCGAAGTGGGGAGGGCTGCCACTCTTCTCGCACCGTCTTTGATGAACGATGCATTCACGTTTGACTGGATCACCCCGTAGCCGCTGCAGCTGCCGCGGCCGTCGCCAGCGCGAACCTCCGCAACGAAATCCCGGGCCAGGTACACGATTCCATGAGTCGTCGTGAGTTCACCATGTTGTTTTCCCGGTGGACATGGTAGCCTCCGCTGCCCAAAGGACCCCGACCTCGCCAGCGTAATCGAAATCGGCCACCATTGCCTTCTGGCCCCCGTCCGCACCGACCACCCCCACCACCTCCTTCCCAGAACAACCAGAACAAACGCCCAGTTGGTGTATCCGCTGTGCACCCCGCTGCACCACCTTCGACGTCTGCAGGGATGCCACCACCGCCACCACCTGTAGCAGCTTTCATTCCGCCGCCACCCCCGCCACCTGTTGCAGCTCCCATTCTGCCGCCACCCCCGCCGAGTATTCCCCCGCCTCTCCCTCTGGCAATTCCGCCGCCGCCTGTACCGTCGTCTCTCGGATCGATCAAGAGTCGATGACCACCTTTGTAGTTGCGTAGAAACCCGGCGCAGGACGAAATCCAACATGAGCAATTGCGCGCGATGGTTCCCATTGCAGTGCGCCACAAAGCCCCGACCAAGCACGCGCCAAGGCAGCCCCCTCCTCCGCCCCCGTCAAGTCATTTGGTGTTTCAGCCCACACCACTCCAAGAATCGACGGCTCGCGCATCCACCAAGGCGCCGCCAGCCGAGCCAAAGGACGAATATGCAGCGTTCATGGACCAGATGAAAGCGATGGGGGCACTGTAAAAAGAGGGCTGATTCCATTCGTTTTTCGTACTTTTTGCTTGGCATGTCGTGGTCCAAGCTTTCGAGGTGGCTGGCCGCGCATACCAGTGAGATCCCTTACGTGGTGCTGCTTCGTCCCCGCTCGGTTCCTACATTGCCAGCAACTCGACCCAGAAACGTCGCAACGCAGCGCAGACACCGAGAGCCCATGATGCACTCCACCGCCACTCGACCCCTAGCTACGAATTTGTGCATGCCTGGCGCACGTTACGAGTGGGAAATGTGCAGCACTCGGTGAAATACAAATGCACGTGCACGTATTCCCCACGACGTCGAACGCAGCAGCTCTTCGGTCGTCGAGGCTGGCAGCACCAAGCGAACCTGCGAAGGAGTAGGCGCCTGGACAACACGCTGTCAGCGCGACGTAGTTGTCGGGGGCCTTTGCATGAACCGTGTTGTTGCAATGGCACCACGTTCCCCAGTCCAACGTGCCCCTATGCTTCTCAAGCGCTCGACAAGCCACGCCACAAAGCACCATGGCATCTTCCGCGCGCGACGGCTCGGGCTCCATGATGATGTTGAGGCCGCGAACGCTTGTTGTTACTACAGTTGACTTTTATCGAGTTAGACAGGTTTTATGGAGTCATTTTAGGGTAGTATTTCTCAAGATCGTCCAACGAGTAGTGGAAATTTTTTTCTGACAATCGTCCAAATTCGGGAGGTATTTTTATTCCAAATTGTCCATCGCGGCATGATTGGCTATAAATCTCGTGAGCCGAAGGACGCGGCATCCCTGGCATGGTGGACCAGGTGTACATCGAAAGTCGCTCGGTCATACCGCTCGGTGGCTGTCGCGCTGGGTGTAGCGTCGTGGATGGCGGGTGCGATCGGTGGTTGCGGGGGGCCGCTGAAATCCTGGAATAGAGAGGACTAAAACTCGCCTCGGACTTACTTCCGACGATATGAAGCACATGAGATTTTCAGCCAATCATGCATCGGTGGAGGATTTGGAATAAAAATACTTCCTGAATGTTCAACGTGGAAGATCGTGAGAAATATTTCCACTACTCGGTGGATGATCTTGAGAAATCCCCTTCACTTTACCCCAAACATCCCGTGCAAACCTCTCTAAGCCCATTTTTCTTGGAGACATCCAAGTATCGAACCATGGCTGTCGTCGATACAGTGCATCCTCCTGCCGACACTACTGCATAACGAACTCGAGGAATAGGCCAAAGCCAGTCGTCTTTCGTACGTGGAAACGGCCTGCAAAATGTCCACCACCATCGAACAGAGGCTATAAGTACGTACGACAGCCACAAGGGAGTACTTACTACCCTGGAAAAAGCCGACATGGTTTCATCCTGAAAATGCATGGAAGATAAATAAAATCAGTCTAAATAATTTGCATGAGTTAGTCCAACTTGTTTGGCTATAACTGAAAATGCATGGAAGATAA